TGCAATCTGCAACTTTACTGCTAGGTGCCACTGAACCCCTCACACTGGTCCTTCAGTCTGCTCAGGTGTGCTATTTGTGGTCATACCACCCAGCTCTACTCTGTAGCAGCTGCCTTCAGTTACAAAGGAACCACTCAGTGCCTGTTATCAGCCTAAGATGACAGTACAGGGCTAGAAGCTTTATTTTTGATTTATCTTCTTTTTTTCAACAATTACACAAATGAAAAAGACAGTCAAAATAATTAAAATGAAAAGTAAAGAATAATCATAACTTGTAAACTAATAATTGCAACAACTGTTATGTTTAGCCAACTAATGTAGTATATGAGTAAAAGTAATTATGGTTCCCATCTATAAATTTGATTTCAGAACACCTGTACTGTTACTGTTACTGTTACCTGTTACTAGGCGTTATCTATAAAACTACCTGTAATGGAGCATGTGCCTTAACTGATAAACTCTCAATGCATTCACAGGAAAATACACAGCATGGAACTCTTCGAAAGTCTGGAAATCTACATCCCAGTGGAGGCTGAAGTGAAAAGCATTTGTCTGTGGAGTTTACCAAACTCAGTGCTCAGACGAATGGGCCTCCCCCTGTCTGACCCAGAGGGCTCCAGGACGCTCACAGAATCTCCAGAGGGCATATGGATTTGTCCAGCGGTCCTACGGAAGAAAGGCCAGAAACTGGCCTCCCACGCAGGAAACGGTGCGATAGAAAATGTGTCCTCACTGATGGCCAAAGAGTTTCGAGCTGCACCGGGTCCCTTCCGGATGTCTTTTGTCGCCTCCAACCACGCAGCTTACAAGGTGCTGAAGGACACCATGCCTGGGAAAAAGGTCTCTGCAAACACATCTCCCCTCTCCCACGCATCTCCGGTCTCAGTTCCCCTGACCTACCAAGATGCTGCTGTTGTCATCTACCACGGACGCATTTACCTGTCCATCAGGAAGCCCAATCACAGCCGGAGACGACGAGAGACACGTGAACCACAGCCAGCTTCAAAGTCCTCCTTTCCCTCAACATCAGACATGTCAGCTAAAAGCCAGACGAAGGTAACATGACATTTTAGTTGGTGATTACATTCAAGTTACAGCAACAAACCAGTACAACTGGAAAGGACCATGGCAGGTCACTTGACAAGTATGACTTTAGCCTTGAAACAAGATTACAAGTGTACAGCCATGCTAACAGCTCAGAGAGGCTGGGCACAGTGGTGCTTTGTCAGCGAGCTAAAATGCTCACAATTACACTGTTAACATGTTGATGTTTAGCAGTGTTTACTATCTTAGTTAGCAGAGATATTTCAGTCTGGACTGAAGCAGTGGAGCAGCTGACAATAATAATAATAATATGTCATTATTATAGCTACACAACTCGGGTGGCTATACAGCACCTGGTTAGAGACCCTGGACTTTGGTGACTTCTTGTAGTGGTATCAAAAATACAAAACAAAAATAGCGGTAGATGTTCACGGACCTTGCAGGGTGAATCCTAATGTTTCTGGTGACCCCCTGACTATTAAAGCTGCAGTAGGTAACTTTTATAAAAATAAATTTTTGTTATATTTGATGAAACCTTCGCTATATCCTTACGGAGAAATAATCAGGTTCCTCTGGCTCGTTCTAGTGCTCCTAATGGTATTTTCAAGAATCCACTGGGCCTTGGTTGTTTTCATGTAGATTCCTACAAATACCATTAGGAGCACTA